GTGATTTATTGAAGTGTTTGTGCCTAATTTTCTCTTAATATTTAGTTGTGTTCATATCATTTGTTAAGAGAAAAACCTTTCAATTGTAACTTTATTTTCTTATGGATCGAGTTGAGGTCCCGAAAAGCTCAACGTGTAAAAGGATTGGTGCTCCTTAGTTGCAAGTCATCGGAAGCATTGTAAGGGCTAGATTGTATCATAAGTCAATTAAAGATAGTGAAAAAGGTCTTGCTCGTGATGAAGAGCTTGGTAATGGGGTACGTAGATCGTGATTGGATCGAACCTCCTTATTACATCGTTTGCACTCTCTTTTCCCTTCCTCTTATTACTTTTGTGTTGTCTTGTTTATTCATAATTATTTGCTTAAATTTGCGTTTATTTTAGAAAAAGTATCAAATAATCAATTCACCCCCTCCCCTCTTGGTTAGTTATTCTTGGGCCTTCACCGCAATCCACCACCAGTGCCACTGCCACCACAATTCCTACAACCAAAACCATCATACCGAATCACGAGTTGCGCACTACTTGACCACCACCACCACCCAAACCACCATCACTACCACCACAAAACCAACATAATACCACCAAAAAAACAACATAAAATCCCAAATACATCATAAAACCACTGCCACAAACCACCAACCCATCACCCTGCAGAGATCGTCGTATACAAAGCTGCACACTGATGACCAAAGCGTCGCCACTATGTGCGACACTCTAAGCTTGTTGCTATGCAAAGTGGAGGAGAACGACGACAAGTTCGCCCTCACAATGGCTGTTCAACTCAATGGATTCGCTGCCATGTCACCACCCCCCAGTGAGGAAGAAAATGGATAGAAGGACAAGCTCTGCTTGGCAATGGAGGAGTTGCCAGAGGATGAGACACGAGAGACGGGAGAAAGCAGACATAGAGAGAGAGAGAATAAAAAGGAAACTGATTAGGTTTAGATTGAAATTGAGTTAGGGTTTGAAATGAAATAAGGTATATTAATTAATTACTAACATATCTGATTTTTGAACATTGAAACATTCAATATGATTTTAGAATTTTGAATTTTTAAACTAGGTCATGGTGTAATTTTCACTTTTACTTATTTGCTTTTGGGAGAAGAATTATTCCGATGTTTACCTATTTATTTGCATCTCTCCTAACAATTATACCATCTTTTTATTGTATAATACTGTTCCAAACGTACAATGCCACAAATTAAAATCAAATTTTGTCTTTAATATTTTCGAACCCTAATCGTGTGTCAGCACCTCTCCTCTCATCTCTTCTCTCTCCATTGACATTGTTGCCTCTGCCTCCAACTGCCACCTCTCTTCACTTACAAATATGGAGTTGAGGCTCGTCTCGATTCAAAGTTCGTCATACGCGGATATACTCTGAAGACGGCTTCATGTGAGCTCAGATTAGCGTCTTTGTAAGTTTATAGCGATGTGGCGACGATACATAGTGTGGTGGCTGCATTTTCTA